AGCAGGAATTCTGTAGGATGCTGGTATTGCCCTATCTTTAAGTTTCCACCCCCAAATTTGAGAAGAAAGTTACTCTTCCTGCTTTGCTGGGAAAAGTCACTAACTTGAGGAAAGGAAACTCAAAGGGGTGTTTTTTCAAAGCTGCTCCAGATCTAATTTCTGACTGAAGTGTCCATAAAGTTCTAGCTGCTGCCAAAGTGATCCTGTGGGTGTGTTTGAGTTACTGAATCTGCCCTGTCCCTCGGCGTGGGGAGTGGGTGTGAGGGTGCCCGGGGCAGAGCATGGGGAGCAGGACTCCTGCTGAGCAGTCGCTGGGTCTGCTGCTGTGGCTTTGTGCCACTGTGTGTAAAGTGTCTGAAAAACTGATAAAAATGGAACAGTTCTGTGAGGCAGAGGAGGGCGATGGGTCTGTGCTGCTCTAGTGTGTGTGCATATGAACATAACTCTTCCCCCCTCCCCTCCTTTTAGCTCCTGCTGTTTGGAGAGAATGGGAAGCGGTCCCTCAAAAGTAAACACAGGTATTCTCTGCTTTAAGGCATTTCCCTGATGCTGTGTTCTTGACTAAACTGATGCTATCTTGACCCAGAAAGGGGGGCTGGCTTGGCAGGAGACGTGTGTGTTGGGGGAAGAACTGGGTGGCTGCCAAGTGCTGCTGGGGGACAGTCATAGAAATAACACAAATTTTTTGTCTGGAGCTTGCCTTCTGTTAGAGCAATGCTGTACCTACAGTAATACTTGAATATGCCTCTAGGTAGTGCTTGTCACTTATTAATGTAGAAATCAGTAAGTTAAAATCAGGTTTTGATGTATTTTTTTTCTATTCAGTTCCAGTTACACCAGAACCCATTCCCACCACTGTCACTGTACACACCACTGTACTTACCACTGCAGCTGACCCTAAGGCTTCAGAACCCAAATGCTGGACTGATAAGTAAATGCTCCACCTTTATTTCCTGACCTCAAACACAGAGTTCCCTCTGTGCACTCATCCTGTAGGGAGGAGTTATTTGTAATACCTTTTACATCTTGGGTTTTCAAAAAGTTTCTCATTATTTCCTAGTCTGTGCACTAGCCATTTAATTTGTCTTGATGCTTAATGCAGACACAGACCTGTTAATCTCATGGGGCTTGGGAGAAGTGCTGTATTACATTTCATGAATTTGGGTGAACTTGAGCACTACTCTTGACACCTCTGCTAAAACTGGGGTTTCTGATACTATTTTCTGTGTCGACAGCCGTGAAGTCCTCTACATCTTGCTGGCCTTAATCTCTGGCATCTTGTTGACTGTTCTGGTTTTCGCAGTCATCTACCTCTTGAGGAAAAGTAAGTGGCACAAAGAGGCAATAACAGCAGCGTGATGCCCCAGGCCTTGTGCTGCACATCTCACTGGGGGGGTGCTAAGCTGCCCTGCTCTTCAGCTGCATCTGACAGCACTAGGGCTGCAAAGGAACTTCTGCAGCGGGTGCTTTGAAAGGGGCTTAAATAATCCAGGTACTGGTGAACCAGGTCATTCCTCGTGAATCACCCCAGGGGCTGTTTTCACAGGAAACCAACTTCAGCACTGATGAGTTGTGGGTTTTGTTGGCTGTGTGTGTTTGGGATTTCTTTTGTCCCAACCCTGGAGACACAGAGTTCTCCCCAGAGCCATCTCGTGTTCAGCCCAGCCCCTGTGCTGCCCTGCTGCCAGGCTGCCAGCTGCTCGCCCCACAGCAGAGGGCTGGGGCAGCTCTTACCAGCCCCTGTCCCAGCCACGTGCCCGTCACCCCACTCGTGAGCCTCTCCTGCACCACTGTCTCCAGCCATGGGTGCAGACAGCTGAGACTGCTGTCCCTCCTTCCTAGAGTGTAGGAGATCCCACCAAAGCCTACAAGAGCCAGTTCCTTTCCAGACAGTGACCCAGGAACCTGCGAAGAACAGCCAGGTAAAGGTCACAACTATTGCTTCTAATAACTTTTGCAGAGACGCAAGATTCTTGATAGAATGGTAAATATTGATTGGGGGGAGAAAAAAGCTTTGCTCATGGGAGACTCAAGTGTTAGTCAACAGTTCTTTTGACGAAGGCGAAGCTTTCTTCTGTGCATCCAAGGCTTCAGCCTGGGTTTATAGTAGGTGCAGGGAGTTACCTGGGGAGGTACCTGGAGAGCAGGAGGAAAGCTTGTCCTCTGGCATGGCAGGGCTCCACTGCCACACTCCCCACCTATTTCAAGGCTTCTGGGGCTTAACTTCACCACTAATTAGGCAGGTTAAGGAAAATCCTTTTGAAGGGCAAGGGTTTCTGCAGTTTTCCTTCACGATACTGATTCTTTGGGAGCCTCTGATGCAGAGCTGAGCCAGGATCCTGACCCAGACCAACCCCTGGTCTGATCCAGCAGTGCTGGCTGCTTTCCTGTGGGAGGGCTGCAGCCTGTGGCCGCTCTGGTGTGCAGGCTGAGGACAAGCCAGCAGCAGGTGCTGAGGGGCCGTGCCTGCGTGCCCCTAACCTGCAGCTCTGCCCCCAGGGCGAGGTCGCCTACAGCACCCTGGTGTTCCCCCGGAGCCGGGCACCGCTGCCACTGTGACCAGGAGGCTTCTGGCAACGAGGACACTTGCACTTTCTGAACCTCAGGTGCTGCCAGAACTTTCTATCAAGAGCTGTCGTGCCCTGGGAGGTCCCAGCGCTGCCGTGTGTGACGTCGGCTCGTTTTGGAGTGAGGAGTGGACACCAGTGGCTGCTGTGCCAAGCTGCGTGGGGGACAAATTGCCTTTGACACCATATTTCCTCATCTGTGGGGATCTCACTGTGCTTGTAACGTTTCTGTTCGTGTGTCTGCAACTGAGAGAACTGAAAAATGGAAATGTTGCTGAGTCTGGTCACGGCCATGCCCTGATGTTTCCTTCTGTCACCAATTATAGCATTTTTATCTTTTTTTTTTTCCCCCAGTTTGGCAGGTGCTCTGATTAGTTGTTTTCTGCTTATTGAAGTTAAGATAACAAAATACTTGTATACAATGTCTGCTTTTTGATTGGGTCACGTAAAAGAAATTCACATTCACAGTGTGACAGCCAAAGGTTTTCAAAATGTTTATGTTCATTCCTGTGTTATTGCCACCCACAGTGTTCTAAATATATTGTAAAAAGTTAAAAATCATCCCCTTTATATAAAACTGGGGCATAACTTAACACTGGTGACTCAGCAGCCACAGAGGAGCTTCTCTGCATGTCCCAGTGCCCAAGGGATGGAGGTTGCTGGCCAGGTGCAGTGGTCTCCAGCTGGAGTGAAGTTTCCTGGCACCTCGTCCTCAGAGCTCAGGAGCCTCCTTGTCTCTGTCACTGGAGTGTCAGATCCTCACAGGTATTTCCCTTGTCTGCAAGTGCAGATGTTTGTGTCTGTGCCGCTGTTAATGTGTCTCTGGAGGAATCTCTTGGGCAGGACGAGGGTCCTGGAGGCTGCTGTGTGCTGCGGCTGGAGGCAGCCAGGCTGGCATGGAGGGGTTCAGGTGGGCAGGGGTGGATGTGGTGTGCCAGCGGATGGCAGCACGCAGCCAGGGATGGGCACCCGGGCTCGGCTCAGCGGGCTGTGGCCGTTTGGTGTCTTTCCAAGAGCAGGGAGCAGAGCAGCGGCTCCACCTCTGCCAGCTCTGCGGGGCTGTCCTGCCGTCGGGACTGCAGGGGCTGCTGGCAGTCTGAGAGGCAGGTGCAGAGACACCAGACGCTCTGAAAGGCCCGAGGGGCGTTGTGGGTTTGCAGGGTCAGGAGGACTTGCAGCCTGTTTTGATCTTATCTGCTCTCAACTCAGTCATGGCAGTTTCTTCAAGTGCTATATTTAATAGAAAAAATACCACATTGCTCTTCTAAATGTGCAGCTGCTGAGATGGTCGAGAAGGATGTTTGTGGTTGGTGCACAATATTTTTTAAAACTTCTGTTTTGTTTATTAACTCTGCTGCTCTGCCTGACAGCAGCTGAGAAATGAGAGGGTCTGAAAATCTGCCTGGCCTGCACAAATGTTGCTTCACCACACCAGCAAGAATCTGACTCAGATCTTCCAGTGTTAGATCCTGGGTTAGACGTGCAGGAAGAGGTGTCACACCACAGCTCCAAGACCAGCCAGGTGGTGCTTTTTTTTCTTGTAGATGTTTCTGCAACATGAATTGTACTGAGGCTTAACAGAACCAGCCGGAATTGTGTGTCTGTGTGTGCTTGCCTAGGGAGCTGAGTGTGGCACGGCCCCCAGACGTGGAGGGTGACTGAGAAACTCCATTTGTTGTGTGGTGGTCAGTTCTAGCAACTGCTAATGAGAGACATGTCCAAACTTCTGATGGACTCGTGCAGTGACTTTCTTTCTGGCCTGTTATTAATAGAGTTGAACTGTGTAACAGGGCAGGACTTTGGCTTGTGACAAGGGTTACATCAGATAATAAATTGAGACGTCTGATCTCAGCTAAAGGAGCAGATGCCAACACCATCCAAGATAACTAACGAGGTCATGCACTCCATTTTCTGCTTCTTCTAGACCACTGTTATTATTTAAAGTTGGAGAAGCAAGAGCCTGGCCTTTAATGACCTATTTTCAGCTTGAAACCATGTTTCCTAAAAACAGGCTCTGTGAGCTGTGGTCTAGTCTTTACTGCAATTTCTGTGCTGTCCCAGTGAGGACACAGACTGAAACAGGGAGGAGATTTCCTGCAGGCTGCTGCTTTGATTGTCATGGGAGATGATCAGTCTGAATTAACATAAAATCCACCAAATATTTATTACTCCTATTATTGCTGAAAATGTGACAACACTGACCGCAGCACAAGTTGACCAGACTTAAATTTAGTCTGAACTGCCAGAGTAGACACATGGTGTGAGAACAGCCAGTGAGGAGGGGCCTGGGTTGCGAGCTGCTGCACCACCAGCAGCAGAGAACATCTTCACCCTGTTCTTCAGGGGACCCAGCCAGGAAAACAAACCCACAAAACAACCAGACAAAACTCCTCTTAAGTATATATTCTATATTTTCAGATGATTTAATACAAAGAAACATGTAGACAAATATTTACACACACCTTTAGAGTAGTCTTGGATCTGTAACAGGTTGCTGCAAAGAGAGCAGCTGCTCTTCAGGTTGGCAGAGGAGATGCAGCAAATGACACTTCAGTTAGCTGGTGATTGTAGGGAGAATTAGGAGAATCTGCTGAGCAGCAGGCATCCCCCAAAAGAATGTTTTTAGTGACAAATTAGGACAACGTATCTCTGATAGTTCTGGGATAGCTGATTCTGTCCTTGGTCAGGTAGCTGGGGCAGGAGGAGGGGAGAACTTAGGATATAATTAGTTTATTTTTTGACAAGCTTCTCTCCCTGGCATGCTCCCCTGGGCAAGAAAAAAATAAGTCGTGGCAATTCTGGCTGTGTGTAAGTAAAGGGGCTGTAACAGGGCAAAAAGAGAAATCAAAATGATAACAAAAAGACTTCTCAGCACTGAGTTAAAACTAGAAATGAACAAGCACTGTTTTTCACCAGCTGCTCGTGGATCTGAGCTGGGGAAGCAGGAGCAAGAAGTCTCCTTGTTAACAGAGCTCTGGGTCACTGGGCTGCCAAGTAACAACCACGCCAATAAATAAAACTGGAAGGTCCTGTTAATGAAGATGGTTGCCTGGAAGATCTGAGCTTGGTACAGCAAGCACCGAGCAGAGTCCTCCGGGGTACAATAATGCAGAAGATCATAAATGATCCTTTTGGGCTGGATGTCAGATGTGCATCACATTGAGTAAGAGGAACTTGCACTTATCAGAGACCAGCTTGTGCAAGAGCAGGAGAAGCTGAAGCACAACACCCATTTCCCCATGAGTTTCTTAACAGAGCCAAGTGGTTTATCAATGGTCTGGTATATGCTGGCAGGTCAACTTGTGTTCTTTACTTATGCTTGTTAGTCTGTTGTTTGCTCTGTAAGAACAGGGTCTGGTTTTCTGCACAGGATATAGGTCCTTAAAATTAAAAGGTAGGTGTTTTTGAATTTCTTTATCTTGCAGGCATAGACAATGGGGTTCATGGCAGAGTTGGCATGAGACAACAGGATTCCCAAGTACATCACATACTGGGGGATCTGACACTCAGGGTAAAAATAGGAAACACAGTTTATAATGCACAGAGGCAACCAGGATACTGCAAACAGGAAGAGAACGAGCACTAGAGATTTGGCTGTCCTGAACTCCTGCCCATAAAACCCTCCTGCCCCTCTCACGCCAGCCGTACCTTGGCTCAGCTTTGTCCGGATGATGTAGAAGATTTCAGCATACAGAGCACACATGATGAACAACGGGACGAGGGTCCATGCAAAAAAGCCAAAATAGACCAGGTAATCCATCCTCACCACGGCGGTGAACCGGCACCGCAGCAGCTCAGAGTGCTGTGGTTCCATGTTGTTCCATCCAAACATGGGGATTAATCCTACCAGCAGGGACATGGACCAGCACAAACCCAGTGCCCACCAAATTCTTCTCTCTGTAGTGATTATTTTATATCTGTTGGGGAAGAAAACCCAGGTTGTGATAAACAGAAGAGTGTGAAATGGTTAAGGATGGCTTCAAGAACTCGTGTTCAAATACTGCAGGTTCACTGTCACAAAAAGCAGGACTAACCTTTTGGGGGGGAAAGGAGAAGGGACCAAAACCTTATTTTGAGACAAGTCCTACCTCCTCATTTTTAACAGTTACTTTGCAGCACCCATAAGAAGAACTAAGCTTAACTTCTCCTCTTTATAATTGGACATTTTAATCTATTTTGTTTCTTGTTTCATTATGATCTGAGTGTTCCTTTTTCCTAGACACGACATGTCTACTGTTAGCAGTCCTATCTTATTTCTCAGCCCCCTTGGGTGTACCTTGCTCTTTACATTTGGCTTATGCCATTTGTAGGACCAACCTGTTCTTTCATTCTTCAGTTTTATAGGTCCTTTCCCCCTAAAAAAATGACTTTTCATGCTTGAGGTTATGATTTCTATTTCTAGCATACGTATTTCTCCATTCAGATGGAAAAGTGAATGATCCCTTAACTTAGCCCATAATAAGTCTTTTATTTCTCTTGTATTTTCAGCAAATACTAAAAGGACTTTTATTTAAAGGACTAAGAAACCCAAAGAAAGCTACAGTACTTGCAGCATCTTGCACAATTAACAAACAGCTGAAGACTTTGCCTGTTTGACCACAGACTCATCCTGTGGCTGAACTGATGAGCAGTAACACAGCTGGCAGCCCCCCCACACCCCGGGGTCTGTCCACACCCTGCTGACTGCAGGGGGGCTCCTGCTCAAGAGACCTCACCTGGGGTGGGCTTTTAGGCACAGGGATTTTGCCCATCTGCAAATGTACATTTGAGGAAATATTTGTTAGAAAAGGGCCGAGTTAAGGAGGAGAGAGGAGGTGGCACGTGTGGGGCAGAGGAAGGGGAAAGCTGGCAGGAGTTTGGGGGGCAGAGGAAGGGGAAGGCAGCAGGAGCTGAGGGGGGCAGAGGGGCCGTGGTGCTCCAGCACTCACCTGGTTGGCAGCTTCACTCGCAGGTACCTGTCGACGGCGATGGCCAGGAGGGAGAGGATGGATGCAGTGGTGAAAACCATCATCAGGCAGCACATGAACAGGCAGGTGTGGAAGTGGACCCTGATGCCCAGGCTCACCACGATGGCCAGGGGCACGACGAGGGTCCCCACCACGATGTCAGCCAGCGCCAGGGAAACGATGAAGTACAGAGTCGTGTTCTGAAACTTGGAGTTCAGCTTCACCACCCAGATGACCAGGACGTTACCCAAAGTGGCAAACAAAGCAATCAGGCACTCGGAACCGATGTAAATCCCGTCCAGGCTGCTCAGCCCCAGGCTGTTGTTTGGCATGGTGAGTTGCTGGAGATGCTCCCACCCTGGCTTGAGCTGCACGAGCACAGGCATCAATGACCGTGCGTGGGATTCACCCTCGTTGTGCTCAGTGGTTCCAGTGACCTTCCAGTGTCCAAACCTCTTCTAGCATTTCACAGCCTTGGCCCCTGGGCAGCACATCAGTTGATGCCTTTCCACAGATCTGCAAGTACCTTAGCATCCAGGAAATGTTCCCCCCTCTGGAGGCATCTCCTGAGGCTCACAGCATCCCTTCGGCAGCCTGGTATCTGTAAAGTACTTTGGAAAGCTGTTTTGAAGGGGAAATATGGAAAAGCTTCCACGAGCCTGCTTGGCAGCAACCTATAAACACTTTACTGCTTCCTCTTCCAAGCCTCGGTTTTAGAAGCGAGAGAACTGTAACCAGAGGTGACTGTACAAAGCTGCCACTTATCAGTGTAGATAATCACTCTGCAGTCACTGTAGGAAATGAGGCAGTGCAGGGGGGACTAGAAGGCTGTTTTGTTAAATTCTGGTAGTTTAATTTGGGGTATACTGTTTCAGTTAAGGCCCTGAGGTAGCCAAAACCCACTCTTGCCTTGGACCTTTCTCAATCTGACAAGACCACTCGTAATGCAGGTGACATGTTTAGTGAGAGTCTGTGTTTCAGCTGGAGATCAGTCTGACGATGCTGACCCAAGACAGGTTCAGAGTGTGGCACACTTTCCTGTGCTGTGTCTGTGGAAGATGGAGAAACTGAGGAAAGGAGTGGGAAGTGGTGGGAAGTAGCAGGGAGAGGGAGTGGAAGCTGTGCCCAGTGTGCTGCGGTGAGCCGGGCAGTGTGTGGTGCCTCGCTCCTTGAGGTGGCACTGCAGGGAAAGCCCTGCTCCCATCTCAGCTGGCACTGAGAGGAGATGCAGCCCCGCGAGCTCCTGGCAGCCCGGGAGTCGCAGGGTGACCTGGCTGCTGGGCACGGGGAAACAGGGTGCTCCCCGTGAGCAAATGGCAAGTGAAGATGTGCTGGGTGGTGCCCTGTTAGCACCATGGAGCCCAAAGCAAACACGAGCTGTATTCGGTTTCCCAGACACTGAGTCCTCCAGCTTTTTGGTAAAACTGAGGATAGGGAAGTGAAATCAGCCCTGGGAAGAGAAAAATAAATGAAACTTCCTTATTCTCTGCTGTCAAGAGCTGGACAAATTCCACTTCCTTGAAATGATGTAAATGCTTCTAGCTGCCCGACTGGAGGGTGCTTTGGTGGAATTACTGCTGGCAAACGGTGAGCTGGCTACAGCCAGTCCTGCTCTGCAGCTGATCTTGGCCATGCTGGTTTTCTAATCAGTTCTGACCCAGGATGTCTGTGGGTGCAGGAGATAAATCCCCGGGGAGCCCTGTGAAGGTCGCAGCTGGGATGCAGATGCTGAATGAGTTACTGCTCTGGGAAGTGCCTGGAAGGAGCGGGCAGCTGGCACCTTGCAGCTCTGAGCAGCACGGGAGGTGCCTGTGACCTCCTGGCTGCTGGCCGTGCTTGGGTGAGAGCCCTCCCCATCTCCTCACTCACCCTCAGCTGCCAGCTTCCTCCTTCTGTCATCTGCTCCTGTGGCTGCAGCCAGATGCCTCCCGTGGAGACAGCTACTGCTCTATTTGTCTATTGGATTGTATGGACAAGATTAAGCTGGAGCTCAGCAAGTCCTCTAGGAGGAGGAACAGTCTGTGGGAAGGAATACAAAATCATCAAATATCTGTCCCGCATCCTCTTCGTGTTTGTGATGTCTTGGCTGCCTCTGGGCATCCTGAGCTGCACTTGTTCCCTCTGCCCAGCCCGCAGCCCCTGATGTCCCGGGCATCCTACTGTCTCATGCCAACCTGTGAGCCCTGTTGTCTATACAAAAGCTGGAAGAAAACACCCTCCTGTTTGGAGGACTTGTGTCCTGCTCCAGGAGCTGGAGTTGGGTGTTTCTAGGGCAGAGCTGGGAGCGAGCAGTGGCTGAGCTGTGTCCTGCTCTTCAGGCTGTCCAGGCTGGACACAGCAACAGAAACAGTGTGGGAGCAATGGGAGTGGGGTGGAGCTGGCACAGCACTGAGATGTGCTTCTCAGGTCATGCACTTGGGAGCAAAAACAGTGTGTGTGTGTTTCTGTGGCTGGTGAACGAGGCGCTGGGCGATGCGTGGCTGAGTCCAGGTTCCCAGCTGACTCCCAGAACAACTCCCAAAACTCCCAAGCTGACTCCTTTGCCACGCCGAGGCACAAGCTGTGAGGTTTGGAGCAGAGTGGCAGCTGGGTGTGGGGAGAGGTGAGCGTGGCTCACACTTAGGAGTGTTTTGCTGCTCATAAAAAGCATTCCTGGGTTTGGGGCAGGCAGTGGGGTTTGGCAGAGCCCAGCACCTCCCGGGTTCCCCACGGGTCCAGGTCCCAGCTGTGCCCTGCCAGGACATGGGGTCTTCCTCACCCTCCCAGGGTACCCATTTCCCAAGCCCCGGCCTCTTTCTTGGGCTGGCCCAACCGTCTGCAGGTGCAGGGTGAGCTGGGCAGGAGGCTCCTCTGCAGCAGCTCAGCCTGGCTGGGCCGGGCAGGGGGGGGGCC